GGCGAGTCGGAGCGCGGAGCCCGAAGCCCGAGCGGGCGCCTGCGGGGCGCGATGCGCTGCGTCAAGTTCCTGCTCTTCGCCTTCAACTTCGTCTTCTGGGTGAGTAGGTCCGCTCGGCGCTGCCCCGGGGCGCTTGTCAGGCTGCGGACGGCACAGGCACCCACCTCTGCTCGGCTGCTTCTCCCAAACCCCTGGCCCGGGGACTCCTGAGCTGCTCCCCGCAACACCCACGTCCCCAGGGACACCTACAAGCCATCGCCAGGCGGGGAGGGGGCCCCGAGAACCTGCCGGATCCCTCCTCCTTGCTCGCAGTGAAACGGGAATGGACAGTACTTTCGACTGGTATTTTCTACGTGGCGTGGGGGCCCCTGTCTTGCACCCCGCACCTGGCCTTTGCCTTTGGGCTTGTGAGGTCCTCCGGGCCACAGCTTTGTCTGTCTCTGGCATGTCAGTGCTATGCAAACAGTAGGTGAGCACACCACGACCCCAATTCCCAGGAGCAGGCATCACAGCCCTGCAAACATTTGAACACATTTCAGCCTGGCCTTATCCTGGTTTGGTTTAGTGCTTGCAGTTTTGGATGCTGGAGCACTTAGACATGGGTTTAGGCATCTACTGCATCTTAGGCATCTACTGCTTAGGGATGTTAAATTGTGACTACCTAGCTATCCTATAGTCGACACAATTTGTAATGACTACATGACAAGTTGATAGGAGCACTCTGCAGAGCCACAGTAGGGGTAGCTCCAGGAGCAGGCTTGCGCCAGCTGGCTCATGCCAGCTCTGGGAACCACCCACACTGCAGCTCTGCTTTTTAAATGTAGTAAGAGCCACTGGGTAAGAAGGGTACTACATTTAAAATGCAGAGGCACAGCATCCGTGCCTTGCACTGAGCCAGCAGCCCCTAGTTGCTGCAGACAGCCCTGTCCACCGCAAACGGGCTGCTGCCAGAGCGGGCTGCAGACAGAGCTGGTGCCGGAGCAACCCCTGACAGCTGCGAACATGGGCTGCTTGGTGGCAGCAGCCCCTGTTCACAGGGCGGGTGTGTACATCCCCGCTGGGGCTCCTGCAAGCAGGGTTTGCTTCACAGCAGCCTCTCTGTCCTCCCCTGCTGCTTCTGATAGAGGCAGCAGGGGTAGGTAGGCAGGCAGTACTCTGGAGATAGTGTTGGGGGGAACTGGCTTTTAAGTTGGCTCCTCCCAGCACCGTCTCGTGTTCCCCACTTGCTGCCTCTTGTAGAGTGGAAACCGGAACCGGCATGAGCAGGGACTGCTTCTGTTCCCACTCACGCCATTTCCCCACTGTGCCTCTGCCTCCTCTGCCCTCCGTGAAGCCAGTGCTTTTAAACTGTCTCCCGTTCCCCCCTCCCCACCCCTGCTGCCTATGATAGAGGCAGCAAGGAAAGGGGAAGCAACTAGTTGAGTCCCTACTTGACTATCTGATAAGTGTATGCTTATCATAGAGTCAACTACTTGCCTATATCCCTTATATTTAAAGCATGCAGCTGCACAGTAATATTTGTAGGTATGTTCATTGGGAAGGCTAAAATATGTCTTTTCAGAATGCAGACTTCCTTCACAGAAAAACCCATAATATCAGCATCTTCACAATCACAGTGCTGAGGGAGTTGTTCCTAAACCCTAGGTGCACTTTTGGGCACACGTGCTAACTAATAGACTTGCACACTCTTTGCAGTTTGGCTTGTAGCTTCTCAAACTCTGCTCTTGATCTTGTAAACAGTCTATTGTGGTGGTTGTTTGCAAGAATATTTGCTTAGGGAGTGATGTTCATTGCTGAACTCCAAAAAAAGGCCAAATTAATTCTGATCCTTTTTGCTTCTGACATAAAACTCAAATGCTCTACTCCTAGTTCTAAATACTTACCAGTGTTACCAGCAGCTAGAAGAAAATAGCTAGTGCTCTGTAGTGAAAGAGTATCTGTGGGGTTTTGCCCAACCATACAGCAATAGAAATAAAGAACTCCAGCTATACATTAGTTCAACAAAAATCATAGGAGCTGTTTATTCCTTGGCATTGTTTTCGAAATTGGTGTTTTCCCAGTCCTGTACTGGTATCTGGGCTTGGGCTATGCTGATAATAATGATCCAAAAAGGAAACAAAATCCTCCATTGTTAAAAACATGGCTCTAAATATGGCGATATTTCCACAATTATGTAAAATTGCTGATTTGTCTATTTTGCGGAGCTTTATTAAGCCTCCACGTTACACAGTGAGAGGGTGGACCTGAGGCCTGTGAGCTGGCACACCTTGTCTTGGCGATGTGGCAATAGGAGATGCTTTTGTTTTACACATAACCAACACAGGAAAGAAGTGTAAGTATCTCACTGTGTTACTAGTCACATGATGTGTTTGTTTCAGCACTGTGACTTTGTTTTAATATTGTGAGCGGGAAACTTCTGGGCAGTGTGTATAATATAGCAAAAGAAAGCTATACAATTTATGCATTGCTTCACATTTAACTTTTAAAACATGCCTATCAAGTGCTCTGGGCTTCTTTTTTGTGTTTGGTTTGTTTTTTATAAATCTTAGGAAAGGCTTCATCATGGAACAAAGGAATTCTTGATGCAAAAAGAGGCAAACCTCAGCTGACACAACATCTGGTTGCCCCCAGTGATTACTCTACAGCAGGGGTTCCCAAACTTTTTGACACGGGGACCAGTAAATCCATTCACCAGCTTTTGGAGGATTGGTAACATTCATTTGCATATTTGCATATTCAATAAGCAAATGATGAATATTCAGATAAGTTGTTTCTAGTCCTCCCAAAGCCCTCAGTGCCAGTGTTAGCAAAGTTTTTGATACAGTTACCCACAATATTCTTGCCAGCAAGTTAAGGGAATATGGATTGAATAAATGGACTAAGATGGATAGAAAGCTGGCTAGATCAGGGGTTCCCACACTTTTTACTTTAGTTGGAACCCATTTTTTTTTCAGTACTGTCTTTTGCAGCCCAAAAATATAAATGCATATAAAAAAAAGAATAAATTTTCAGTGTTTCACCCAGCTGCATCCACCACCCAACCTGGTCCAGGGCTTGAGGGACCTGACGCCACATTAGCACTTTAGGAGGCAGGAGCAGATTGAGGGTAGGGTATGTAGCTAGGAGGGAGGGTGCAAGGAAGGGTAGGGTTGCCAGGTGTCCCAGTTTTGTACTGGACAGTCTGGTATTTGAAGGTTTTGTCTGGGAAAGAAATTGAGAAATTACCAGACATATAAAATGCCTGGTATTTTCTCATTAGGTACATTTTATTATAATTAGGTGTATTGGTCCTTAGCTGCCTGGCTGGTAGATGTGCTCAAGCTGTCTGAGTGTGTCTGCCGTTCGCAACTACTCTTGGAAGGGAATGTTGAGGGTAGGGGGCAAAATGGAATCCCCGGCCAGACTCACTCGTCTGCCAGGGTCTGCATGTGCCCAGGTCAGTCCCACTCCCCCCCCTTTCTCTTCCCGATCTCCCCAGTCCAGCCCTGCTTCCAGTGGCTGGTCACACCCCCCCCCCGGTCAGCCCCATTCCCCTGATGCCCCCCTGTCCAGCCCTGCTTCCGGCAGCTGATTCTATAAATAAATTAAAGGAGATAGGCAATCTCTTAGAGCTGGAAGGGACCTTGAAAGGTCATCAAGTCCAGTCCCCTGCCTTCACAGCAGGACCAAGAACCATCCCTGACAAAATTTTGCCCCAAATCCGCTCTGCAAGGATTGAACTCACAACCCTGGGTTTAGCAGGTCAATGCTCAGACCACTGAGCTATCCTTCCCGCCCCGCCCCGCCCCATGCAGTCCTGGTTCCGCCACCTGCCATCTCCGATCTCTGCCGCCAGACAGCCCCACTACCCCCAACCCTGATTCTACCGCCCGCCTGCCTGCCCCCCCATCTCTGCGGGACAGCCCCGCAGCCCCCAGCACTGCTTCCTGGCGGCTGGTTCCTCCCCCCCTCCTCCCAGCTCGCCCCACTCTGCTCCTCTCCCAGCAGCCATGCTGAGGCCCAGTATTTTTTTCCCGCGGCCCACTAATGGGCCGCAGCCCATAGTTTGGGAAATGCTGCTCTACAGTATGGCTCTCCACAGCTCTCGCAGCATCCATTGGCCACTGTAACTACTGAATCCCTCCACTCTTCCATCGAAGAGCCCCTTCCATGTTATGGAAAACAGCCCCATTTCAGGGACTTCCTGATTTCCTGGCACATCCAAACCCTGACCTCACTCTCAATTAGGATAAGAGGAAGCTTCCTACCAAATTTGGTGCTCCTAGCTCTTGCTGTTTAGGAGTTCTTGAACAACGGACTCGCAGACAGACTCACTCACAGACAGATGCACTCTAAAATAGACTTATAAAAGATAAAATGGATATAGTTAACTTTCAGAGATGCCCTGTTCTTCACCTGAGAAACAGTAATTCCACAAGTCAAAACATCACATGTGGATTCCAGCACCAAGCTTTTGTGTCCCATGCACTTGTCATCTGCTGCTTCTACAAGTTACCCTTATGAGACTAATGCTTTCCATTGGAGTGTGGTCAGTTCACTGAACAGCTTCTTGATATGGTGATGAAGCATCATTCCATTGCAGCACCTTGCTGATGTGGGATGATACTGCACCAGTTCTCAAAAGTTAAGATCCATTAGTGATGCTGCACCAAGGTTCGTGAGTCACTCAAATTTTTGATGCCCCAGTAAATGCTCTTTTGTATCATATTCTTCTGCACTCAATACTCTCAGGTCCCTCCTCGCATCATGTGTCTTTCTAGAGCCTTCACAGTAATTATAAAACAAACAGTGAATGTATTTTTTATTATTTTGTGTATAGCGTAGCACCAGTGAGTGAGTCTAGATGGCAGGAGGGGAAAGCCTTGTAAGCATATACATAAAGAAACCATGTACATACTCTGGAAGCTTTCCTTTGCAGCCTGGGTTTAATGGAAGACCATCTGGTCAAGGATGCCTGTGTCTTGACTTACACCGGAGGTGCCTTTTGCCTAGATACTTCTATGTACACTCAGCACTAAGCACACTGTCAGCACTCAGGACAGACTAAACAACAGTGTGACAGGGCACCAAGAGAGTTTTTCCTGAAACTTAATTTGTTG